CCTGGTGTTACTTTTGACCCCAGTCAGGTCAGACCAGCTTGTGTTTAAGTGAAACTGCTCACTTTCCCCACCAACTAACCTGACATTAATTGCTCTTTGTTTTGTTCCTGAGTTTGCCTCCTCTCTTCTTGCCTCCTTCATCCATAATCCTGTAACCTGTTATCCGTGATACCCCAGGCTTCCCACCCCTCCCTCTAACCGCCCCACTCCCATCCCGTACCATCAGTACGGCTCCCCGTATAAGTGTAGCTCAGTGTAGGTGATAAGGAGCTCTTAAGCCTTCTCTCATTTTCCCCATGAAACCCCTGAACTTCAGGTCATTGTGGACTTTGTTTTACAGGAACCTGGAATTTCAAACCTCCCTGCTTCAAAAAGGTTAATACTAGATTAAACCACAGATTGAGGAGAGGGTCACTCTCTTTAGCTGACACTACTGCTATTTCCCTCTCATTGAAAAGTTAATTTTTTTAAATCTCAGCTATCTGACCACAAGGCACCCTAATATTATATACTAGGAGATATATACTCCTAGTAATACATACTCCAATTATACTCATAGGAGAACCCTCTACATCCTCAACATCATTAAGATTTGTACCTTACAGAAAATCCTCAGTTTCTTCCAAGTCAAACCAATGAAAACGAAATATATTTGCTCTGCACTTGCTATTCTAATCTGTTTGATCAAGTTCATCCCTTACTGTTACATACAGCATGTGAGGGACTTGATTGTAAGTTAGCTCCATATAGTAATGCGTTCTTCCTTATGTGAATGTAACATGTTTGCTTCAATTGTGAGCTTTGGCTTAAAACTTTCTGTCCCCCAAATAAGATGGAGAAAATAATTGGGAAAATCTTGGCTGGTCTTATAAAAATTCACAGATGCTGCTTTGAATAAAACAGTTCATAATGGTTTAAAAGAGGCTTTCTACTCTAACTTTCATCTCTACATATGAGGTGGGTGGTGGGGGAAGGAGGAAGTGGATCTGTGGCCAAAATCGAGTTTTGATCCCAGCTTTTGCCCAAGCTGCACCCACTAACACCATCTAAAGCAAGACCACTTGTCAGCACTTCATTCATGAGCTCTAGCATTAAGATTCCACAATTCGCTTCTGATATCAAAGCTTTGTTTTAATGGAAATAATTTAATGGCATCTTCTTCTCTATGAAAGTCAAGAAGGTCCATTTGGAACCTAGATTTTGAACACTGGTCTGAGAGTGGGTCCACGCTGCAGCCCGGAAAGCTCGCTGCAGCCCCCGCTGAAATGGATGCTCCAGATGTCACACAGAACCCAGGGAAGTGAAGAGCTTCAGCACGTTAGGGAAGAAAGTGAAGAAGAATGTTTTCCCTTCTGACATTTCTCTAACAACTGTGTCTAACCTGAAAATGTGGCTCCAATCCTTTTCAGAACTATTATTTTCTTTACAGCAAAGTTCTGAAAACTTCGTTTCTTTTGATTTCTCCCCCCTGGCAGGAAAATGACACATTTGGGGTCAATGCATTAAAGCATAGTCTCTTGGGAGAAAGGGGGGTGGGGGCTACCGCTTTCCAGCCCACAAACAGTTGCAGGTGCAAAAAATGTGCACACGAAAAGGGAGGTCTGGTAGAGGCCCCCTTTTAAACTGTGGTCTTTTAAGTTCAATAAATCTCTTTGCTCTTCCCTTTGTGAGCCTGTGCTTCCCTCCCACGCTCAAATGCACATCCCGGTCCTCAATGTGGCCTCCAGAAGGAATCTTCATGTTTGTTGTGAAGTTTTCCGTAATTACATAATCGTTGAAGTCTGTGAGTTCGTGTTGAGGTGGCTGAAAAATGCAAGCCCTCGGATTACAGTAACACAATAGCCGGCTTCCTGTAAGAGCCGGCGCTTTCCCTGGGCCGCGCTCCGACTAGCTGCCCTCCAAGGCCTTCCTTGCGCCTGGTGAATTGCAACTCGAGGGACATTTCTGCCAACAAACTGCCCCAAGGTGTTTTAAAGCATTTGTTTGTGCTGTGGGTGAACTCGGCACACACGCTTTGCTTTGATTTGATTAAGAAGGCAGGGGCCACAAAACCAGAGGGTTGTGGTTTCTTGGATGCCTGTGTGTCTGCGTGGGGACAGAGCCAGCACATTGCTCGTCTGTGCGGCTGCACCTTGACTCATCTGTGGTGTCTAGAAACCTGGATTCCTTGCCTTGGGAGTTTAGGGGCAGGAAGAAAGGACAGACCACAGATGACTTTTAGGTGTGTAATAGAATTTGGTACCTGGTATGCATCATTGCCTATGATATTTTTCCTAATCAGCTGGATATTGAAGATTATATATTTAAAAACCAAGCATAACCAGAAATAGTCTTATTTACTCACAGTTTATCTTCTTAGGCTCTGCTTGCCCAGTACTTAGCAATCCTTTCCCTGACTGTTCCTGTGCTCACTAACCTCTAACCACCTCCTGTGTTCATTTCTGTGTATTTGCTACTTTAGCTTAGCTTTGACGCTAATTAGCTATGTACTTTTGAAAACATTATTTCACATTTTTAAGTCTCAAATGCATCATATACCTGAAAAGTGATTAATGTAACATTATTCACCTTGTCAGGGTAATGGAAAATAAGCCCTCCATAAATGGCTTAGCAAAGGAACTGCCATGCTAGCTATCATATATTGATAGTATAGTCTTTTCTTTAGGGCTAAAGAACCTTAATATTCATGTAGACCAGACCAATTTGTAATGTTCTTATAGTATTCAAATTTGGACAGCAATAAATCCTTTCATCCTGTATGTTTATTTCTCTTTCAAAAAAATAAATATTTCCAAGGAAAATTCAACTATATTTATTGAAGATATGGACCAAAATATTTTCTCAATTTTAAATTTTCTCAACTAAAAATTATAAAATAGCAAGAGAGCTATGTATCAGAGACTTTTTGAACATTAAAAAGTATACTTAAGATGAAAGTACAAATAAGTTATGAAACATTGCATATTATAAGACTGAAGTATAATATATTCACATATATGCCAGAAAAGGAGTCTTATTTTTCCCAAGATGAATTTATAACCTGTATGTCAATGAAATCTAAGTTTTTTGCTGATAGATGGGATGCCATCCATATATGACGATGAGGAATGCACTAAAAGCAAGAGCAGTAAATGGCAATCTTCTGACTTACTGTATGTGTCACTGAGAAGAATGATTATTTCTCACAAGTAGAGGTGAAGCCAGGGACTATTACCATCCATATTTAAGTGGTTTTGCTCTTTTCTTCTACATTCACCAACTTGATTAAATAATGATTTGGCTCACAAAACACTTGAGCTTGGTGGCTCCAAGTTCATTCCCAGCCATTTTTGTAAATGTCTCTGGTGTTCAGTTTTAGAGACTAGGGCTAAGTTAGGGCTCACTAAAGTCAGCACCAGACAAGGTAACCCAGGAACAAGCCATCCCATCACAGAGACTGAAACTAGTGTGGAAAAAGACCTGCGTGATAACTACCTGCCTTCTTTCAAGTTTTGTGTTTCATAGCCCCAGGCAAATTCTCACCTCTTGTGGGAGAGAAAGATGCCATAGAAGACACCCCTTAAAGTGAAAAGTTTTTCAGATATTTTCTGAGAGAAATTCAGGACTTGATCAATCGCAATAGTTTCATAAGATAATCAAGCCAGATAATTCTCTGCTGGGGGTTGATCAGATCGTCAATGTGAGCCCGGTTAAAAGTATGAGAGTCACATTTTGTGTGATTGCTGGGTTGAAGTGCAGGAAGAGGGATGTGCAGGAGAATGGTGTGCCTTGGGGAAACTCAGATCTTTCTGTAGAACTTGCCCTACGCATCTCTTCCTTCTGCCTGTTCCTGAGTTATCTCCTTTTTATAAATATACCAGGAATCTAGTAAGTAAAATGTTTTCTTGAGTTCTGTGGGTCATCCTACCAAATCAGCCAAACCCAAGGTGGGACCATTTGATTAATAGCCAGTCACAGTACAGAAATACAACCTGGGCTTGTAGTTGGCCTCTGCTGTGGAATGGGGGTGAGGGAGTCAGCTTTGTGGGACTGAGTTCTCAACACGTGGAATTGGCTGCTCTACCTGGGTGGACAGTGTCAGAATTCATCGAACTATAGGATACCCAACTGGTGTTGGAAAATTGCTTGGTGGTTAATGGAAACCAACCCCTCACCTCCAGCCACCGCGCGACACACAAACACTGAAACTGGTCATCAGAACCCCCTTCAGTAGTGTCTGGATGTCTTTTTAAACTTCTAGATTTACCACTGTAAGTTACAGTTACTGAACTTATACTGCATTCAGTTAGGCATTAGGTTTCACGATGTCTAATGTTACATATTTGTTTAAAATTGTAACTGAAAAGCCTCTTGCTTCTAAATCAACCCCAGGAGAATACAGGGAGAAGGGTATATGTAGAGTGTCAGCATTTTCTTTTCTGAGAACCTACAGAAGTGCAGTTGCAGCCTGAGTTTGCAGTAGGCATCTGCAGCAGGATGGGGGTGAGGGAGTCAGCCTGATGGGACTGAGCCCTTAACCCTTGCGATCTGATGCTCTCGTCTGGGTGTGTAGTGTCAATGCATCAAACTGCTCTTTGTTAAGCTCTAAGGTAATTCTTATTTTTAATATATTTATTGTCTCATTTAATCATTATAAAGGTGCCATGTGGTGGGCATGTGCCCCATTTCCAAATGAAGAAGCTGAAACTCAAAAGTTAAATAACTTGCTGAGGGCCCCACAGCCTAGTAAATTGAAAAGAATTTGTAGGCAGATTTCTCTAATTATGCTAATTGTGCTCATTTCTCCACACTTGTTAACTCTCACAAAACAGAAAATGCAAGCATTTGTGTTAAAGGAGAATCTTAGGTTAAAAATAATTTGTATATTTTGGTCTTTTCTCACTTTACCTACTTCTATCTTGACTAATCGATTGCTTTGTTAATAACTCATGCCAATCCCCATGATATGCTGTGTATTTTTAGAAGGCTGTAGGGTAAATGGAAGTTTTTTCCATTTCCAGGTTTTTCCCGCCCTCCCGCCATTAGCATCTATGATGGCCACCTGTGGTCTTACACCGATGCCTGATGGCGGCCCCTGGACTGTAGTGTGCGCATGCGTGAGTGGGCGCACCTGTGCCTGGAGACTGAGCATATAAGGGCAGCGTCAGAGAGGCACAAAGAGCAGGATGTAGTAGCAGAGTGTGGCGGCAGAGGATCATGTGGCAGAGAGCTGTAGAGACCAAAGAAGATACCACGAGAGAGCCCAGACGGAGTAAAGATTCCACGGGGTTAGGAGGCCTCCCAGGGCCCCCAACTCCCCTGCCTGCCCTGTGTCTAGTTGACTCACTACAAATGGTGTAGAAAGATCATTAAGAGCCTGAAAAAAGCCACTGAGGCTCCAGGACTTCTCCTTTACCTGTCTGCGGGCCTGGATCATGGAAAACCTGCTCTGTGCCTTGCTGGTGCTACACAAAGGTAAATTCTTCTATTTTGAATATGGGGAATTTCATATTATACAGAACTAGAGAGAATAATCCAGTGACACTCCCACTTCAGCAGTTGTCATTAATCCTTAGTCTTGTTTAATGCATTTCTCTCTGCCAGATTATTTTGAAGTAAATTCTTGAAAAATCACTTATCATGCACATTTTATATATATATATACACATATATGTATCTAAAAGATAAAGATCCCTTAAGAAACAAACATCATATCATGATCATATATTAAATTAACATTAATTTTTAATATCACCAAATATCCAGATAGCATTGAAAATTCCCGATTTGTTTATAGATCTTATTTTCATTATTTATTTATTGATGCTTACAAGAACTGGGGTATAGTCCAGAGGTGTGGGAGGTGAGAAGACCGACCAGAGACAGAGAGGGGAACAGAACACGTGGATCTACTGAAATACACGGCTGAGGGGAACAGTGGGCAGGACAAGAGAGGTCTGCACCATGTGAGTAGCTCCCTGGCCAGCCAGGGATCAAATTCATGCTGCAGAGGCTGCAGATAGCTTCATAAGTACTGTGCTTAACCACGTGCACCACCAGGGAGGCCCAGGTCTTTTTTTTTTTTTGCAGTTTATTTAAATCAAGATTCACATAAAGTCCATATTTTATAATTGTATGGTATTGCTCTTAAACATTTTTAATAATATATGTTGTACCTCTATCATTTTTCCTTTTAATTTATTTATTGAAGAAATTGGTTCATGTCCTGTAGAGCAGTGCTACTTCAGTCCATGATGAGGTAAGAAGCATGTGACAAAATATAAATCCAGCTGCCACTGGGCACAGTAATAGTCAGCTGATGGTTTGTTTCATAGCAAAACTTTCTTGATGAAGGAAGCAGTGAGATGATTTACATTCCAGGTTAAGCTTACTATAAACCAGCATATGGATCAACACTGGTAGAAGGTGAATTTTTAAGTTAACCTCAGAATTTTTACATTCTCTCACCAGCTTTTTCCTGTTTCTTGCAATTTGGTAAACTAGGCCCCAACATACACTTAGGAAAGAACTCTTGTTACTATAACTTTCTTTTCATATTAGGCATTGTGAAATACTAAGAATGGGAATTGCAGATATCTGAAGTAGTGGAGGTATTTTTTTTAATGTACTACATTAAGAAAATTTCTAGGGCCTCCCCGGTGGCGCAGCGATTGAGCGCTGGGTTGCGAAGCTGCCCGCAGCCTCTGCCACGCCGGTTCAATCCCCGGCTGCTCCCCGGCCACTGGAGGAGGGTCCCACATGGCACGCAGACCTCTCCTGCCGCTCGCTGCTCCCCTCAGCAGTGTACTTCGGTCCTTCTGCCTGTTCTGCTCCCCGCTCTGGCTCTGGTGAATTCTCTCACCCTCCTGTACTTCTGACTGTACCCAGTGCTTGTATAAATAAATAAAAAATAAATAAATATTTTTTTAAAAAAAAGAATTTCTAAATTTTTCATCTTATATGTATGAGTACAAACTGGGGGTGATGGGGTACTATCTAACATTCTTGACATCTTATTAAATGTAATCCAAGTTTATAAATGTGTTTCTATTATGAAAGAAGTCTATTGTTCATTGTTTTAAAGTGGCATTGCTGATTTATATATAGCTGATCTTTGTTTCCTACACAAATACTACTGAATAATATACTCTTGATAAATATTAATAGGTAACTTTTTTTAACAATTATTTGCGTGCATATGTTACTAAATGGCTTACAAATAATGATCATTGTCTTGAGAAAAAGACAAGTAATCCCCGGCATCTAGGAGTTGCCCTGGTACTATTAGCCAGGAGTTGGCATTTTTCCATTAAATATACACAATTTCACAGAACATCAACATCATATAAGGCTGCCTGTGACCATCAAGGACCCAGACAACAGAAAACCATTCGGAAATCCCGTCTGAGCACAGACAGAACAAGAACAATGTCCAAACCACAAAATACCAGATATATCCCTATTTTGGTGACCTGTGTTACCGTTGCTTTTTTTTTGCCAGTTACAGCTTTAACCTTTGTCTAGTCCACCATACCACAAGAAAATATTTGTTAATATACCCAATGATAGAGTTATCCCCGCTTCATGACAGCATCCTATTCTGAAATAAGTGCTGCTTTCTTAAACCCTCCCACAAATCACTCAACACAATCTAATTGTGTAATAAGGCATCTCCAGTACCTTCTTTCTGAAACACTCCACATTCTTTGTTCACTTCATTCTCCAGCAAACCTTCTCTCTTGTTTCCATGACCAATAAGCCCCCAATTTGTTTTTTGTTTTTTGTGTTTTTTTTTTTTTTTTTTTTGTGGAACCCTTGCTGGCGGCCCGGGAACGAACCAGCGCTGCAGAGGCTGCGGGCAGCCTCGCAGCCCAGCGCTCAACCGCTGTGCCACCAGGGGAGGCCCAAGCCCCAAATTTTTGACTATAGGTGTCTTCCTAGTGTTCTTTGGAAGACATTGATACTCTCTTCATATCAAACTCATTTTCTTTTTCATATCTTATTACACTGACCAGATTCTAAAATAAAATAGAATAATAGTGACAGCAAACATCCCTGTACAAAGGAAGTAACATTTACCATAGAATTAATTCTTTTAAAGTGGATTTTGACACAAAATTTTAATTTTTATCTCTTATACTGTGATGGAATATTTTTAAATATTGAAACTTTCAATATATTTTAATATAATTTTTACAACGAACATTTTGATAGATTTACCTTGTTAAGAATTTTTTTTTCTTTTTTAAAACATAATGGAAAATTTCATTAGATTTTCCTCCCATAAATTTCTAGGAAGTCAACATTTTTGATTGCAGTAAGCTATTCTTTCAGTGAATTCCAACTTTAAAAAATTATATAATTTACATACTCAGTGAATATTATTTATATACCCATCATATACCAAGTTTTATCATGAATGAAAGATTTCAAATTAAAAAATCATGGTGGGGGGTTACTGTGGCTATAAAAGCATGGGGGATCCTTGTTATGGAATTCTGTGTCGTGACTGCAGTGGTGGGCACACAAATCTTAATGTAATACATACAAATATAAATGTGATTTTTAAAAATGCCTGAAACAAAATACAAATACACAGAGTAGCACATATAAAACTGGTGAACTTTGCGTCACGATGGCAGATTCTGTTGATGTCAATTTACTGGCTGTAATATTGTATTTTGATTATTCAATATGTTTGCATTGGGTAGGGGAAATGAGTAAAGAGGATACAGGACATCTCTGTACTATTTCTAACTGCATGTGACTCCACTTTTTTAATATTACAAAGTTTTAAAAATTATATAGGGCCTCCCTGGTGGTGCAGCGGTTGAGCACTGGGTTGCGAAGCTGCCCGCAGCCTCTGCAGAATGGGTTCAATCCCCGGCTGTCTGGCGAGGGTCCCACATGGCGCGCAGACCTCTCCTGCTGCCCGCTGCTCCCCTCAGCAGTGTGCTTTGGTCCTTCTGCCTGCTCTGCACCCCACTCTGGCTCTGGTGAATTCTCTCACCCTCCCGCGCTTCTGACTGTATCCAGTGCTTGTATAAATAAATAAAAATAAATCTTTAAAAAAATAATAAAATAAAAATTATATAATCCCTGACATAATGTACAATGCAATCTATAATAGAAAGAGATTATTAAAACACTACACAAAGAACTACATGATAGGCAACTTTAATGTGAAGTATCACATACCATATGTGCATTTAATACTGGAATCTAGTTTGTATTCTACGGTCAAGAAAGGTCACCAGAAGATGTAACATTTAAAATGAAGCATAAGAATGAGTAGGAATTGGTCAAACAAAAAGGGAGAAATATTGGAAAAAAAAAAAAAAGGAGAAATATAGGAGATTTTCGCTTTTGAGGCCATGGAATCTCAGTAGAGAATAGTAATCATAAAGAATGGTGACAAATGGTGGGTGATATTGGAGAAATAGTTTGGGCACAGGTAATACTGGACCTTGTGGATTATGTAAAATTATTATGAGAATAAAGCTACTAAAATGCTTTAAGCAAAACAGTAGCCATATCAAATTTATATATTTAAACCATTGCTTTGGCTTTTCAGTGGCAAACAGCTTGGCTGAAAAGGATACCCCATACTTTGCAGAGAAAAAGGAAACTCACGTGGGAGTCCAGGTTAGTAATGGGGTCCGCAGAACTGGGGGCAGTGAAATGGGAATGGATTCAAGAGTTTAGACAGAGGTAGATGTTTTAAGACTAAATAAATGGGAATTATCCAAACTTTCCAAATTTTATCCAAATTTTCCCTTGGCTAAGAATATGCAATATTGCAAAGATTTCATGTTATAATTGAAGTTATTATCAAAATTACAATTATATTTCACACTTTCTAGATGGTTTACAATAGATCAGGCATTGTGTTAAATGCTCATAAAACCCTAATCAAAATCACAAGTTTAGGGGAACTTGTAAAATGACCAAAGTTTATCTTAAAAATAAACTTGCAAGAATAGCAAAGAAAATTCTGGGAAAGAAAATAGCAAGTGTGGATTAACCAACTGTAATTGTGGTTTACAACAATAGAGAGCTCAATGGAAAGAACTCAGAAATAATCACAAGTTTATGACAGGATGGCTGCCGTAAAGATGGACTTTCCAATCAGTGGGAAAAGCAGATTTACATTTAAAAAAAAAAATCACATATGCTATACAGAGATTACACCTGAGGGGAGAAATCAAATACTGCCCCAAAATTAACAACAATGTAAGAAAAGAAAGTACTTAAAATAAAGATATAAAGAGTTCAGTACTGGGAATTTTTAGTAAAAAGCTTTGAGAGGAAAGATAAAAAGGTTTGGGACCCATGGATAGTCAGTTAACAAATTGTACAGATATCTATACAATTCCTTATCCCCAAATTTGATGGATCAAAGACATAAATGTAAAAAATTAAACCTTGCCATTTGTGACAATATGGATAGAACTGGAGGGGATTATGCTAAGTGAAATAAGTCAGAAGGAGAAAGACAAATACCAGATGATTTCACTCATCTGTGGAATATAAAGAAATAAAACAAAGAAACAGACAAAACTAAATTAAAACAAAGCCTAGAATTCTCACCTCAGAATTGAGGTTACCAGAGAGGGAGGGTGTAGAGCTAGGGGACAAGGACCTTGGTGGTGAATTTTTTTGTGCTGACATACATCTGAAGAGGTGTGAACCTGTACCCCTAAATCAAACACATTGCTGTAAACCAATATTACATCAATTGAAAAAATACATTTGAAAAAGACAAAGTGGTTAATTCTGGAAAAGTATAAATGAAATTTTAAAAATTATAAACAGACCAAAAAAACTATAAATATTATAAATTGTATTGGAAAAACCTTTTAAAACATTGAATAATATTCATCATTGACTTGGTGAAAACATACTCATGCACATACAAACAATGCCAAAGACAAATGCAAAACGGGGCGAAATATTTCAGAACGAAAGATTGATTAATTATTTCAATTAAAAATATGAAATAATTTTAATAAAAGATCAAGGGACAGAGAGAAAACTCAGAATGAAAGAAATATATGTGCTTTATGAGCATGTGAAATGATGCCCAAGTTTTACCAGCAGTTTTGAAATGCAAAAATAACAATGACATTTTGTATTGATAAGATCAATTAACCCAATTAACATGATTTTTGAGCACTTGCTCTATGCCAGGTATGTTTAGTATTGCTTATGAGAATATTTTCACTAATTTCTTGTAAGTACATTTGCCATTTAAAAGACCACTAATTTTTAATAATATGGTTAGTAATTTGAATGGAAACAGAAGCCTCTAAAATACCTTATAATGTTTGGGGTTTTTTCCCTTAAGTAAGTCAGACTTTGTGCAATCTTGTTTAAATGTTTGATTAACCAATTTTTTAAAGAATGTGTAGTCTTCAAAAGCAATATTTTTTTATGCTCACAAAATTATTTCCTTCATGGGCAATTATATTTTATTGAGTTAACATTATTTCTGAGCGTTGAATTAGCATGGGACTGTTGAAGGAAAACCAAACCAGAGTCATAAGTCACTGACTTTTTTATTAGCTAGAGGTGATATAGATAATATTTCTTAATTTTGTCATTCCTACAGTTAACAGATGTTTACTGAATGTCTACTCTCTGCTAGGCAAAGAGCTACATACCTGAGGTTCTGTAAGGGATGTGAGAGAGAGAAGCTCTCAGATTTTACTTTTTACAGTTTCTAACTGGGGTTGCAGGAATTAGCTATGCTAACATTGTAAGGACTTGTATCTGTATCATGTCGCTGAGGCCAGCCTTTGCCTTCACTCTTTCAACCTAGAGCAATGTGGTAGTTCCGTGGGTGACGTGGTACTTCTGTGAGTGTACTAGATACTCATTTGGGGGTGATTGAGGTGCCTTACTAAAGTAACTTTCTAAAATGCGATATGTGAATGTAGCTAGGTGTAGCGGCAGGACAGGGACAGAGCAGGTTTCCTATGATTTGAGCAGACCAGACTGTTAAAGGAGAGTCCTGGAGCCCTTGGTGGCTTTCTCAGGCTTTTATTGAGCTTTTACAGCAGTGCAGCAACCAGGTACACAGCAGGCAGGGGTGCAGGGTGGGGGCAGGCTGCTGGCCAGGAGGCAGGTAGGCCTCCAAGCCCCTGGCAAGTCTTCACTCTGGGCTTCTCTCCAGCTCTTTCTCCCCTTCTCTCCTGCCTCTGCTTCTCTTGGGGGATATCTCAATACTGCTGCCATGGCCCACAGAGGTAAACAATACAACTTATAACAATGTAACAAATGCCAGTGACCCATCAGACAGGGCACTCCTAATGGCAGGAGGGCAGAAAAGCCTGAAAATCATTTACCCTACACTAGGTCATGAGTTTCCTCCAAATTAATGAGATTAAACTTTTTGACAACAAGGGAGAGACTTTCCAGGTCTAAATGAATCATTAAGAATGAGTAAGTCACAGACATAATTAATAAAGAAGATAAAGATGTGTGTTAAGAAGCATCATAAATCTCAGAACACCCTCAAAATGTGCATTTATCTTTGTCAACAAATACTGGAAAGAACTTAAAAAAATTTCAAATATTTAATTGCAAATATGCTTGTGAAAACCCAGAAGCTAATATATACTTCCCTATGGATAAGACTCATAAAATATATTGAAGGATTGAAAGGTTTCACAAGCTAATTTACAGAGTTCCTAAATCAAGCTTGCCAATTTTACATTTTTTTACCTAAAAAATTGGCAGCTTAATATGGTTTACCTTAAATAGCATGGCATCTTTTCAATTCCTGGAGGAAATCCTTGAATAACGAGTAATTTATAGAGCTATCACTATTAGCCAAACACTGAGCTAAGTTTTGTTTGACATCAACCCAAAGTCTTTTTCTGGGGTCCATAGACAACCCCTCAAAAACTCCAAAACTAATATTGAGTATGATCTTTGAACTTAAATGGTAAAAAAAATTACACATTGTCACTAATATTTAACAGGAGCTTAACATTTCTTCAAATGTAGATGCAAGCAGCAAACTTTGCTAATATTAGCAGTACCTTGGTATTTGTCAGCAATTGAAAGCACAGGTATTTTCATGTTATAGTCATTTTTGCTATCTCAAAATAGTACTTTTACTTACCACAAATTTGAAATTTCTTTTTTAAGAATTTAAAAAATTTTAATACAGCTCAAATCAACACACCTGGTTTATTTCACTCCCGTACAACTGCCAAACTTGGGCCCAGGCACCTCTTCAGTTTCTCTGCCTTTTCTTTGTGATGACCAAAATGTACAGGTATCTGCTGTGCCGAACTTTAAGCTTCATGATAGCCTTGTTTTTCTTGATCTTGATGGATTTGGCAGCCTTTCATCAGGCTGTGGGCAGAAAGTCCTTGATTTTCTCAGTTGTGTGAGGCATTTCCTCATTTGTGTGCAGCCTTCACAGCCACTGACGAGAAACAAGGAAGAGGGGAAAAAGAAACTTGAAATTTCTGATTGATATTAAAATTACTCTTAGATCTTAATGCCTTTGTTACTAATCTCAAATTTGATTGATAAAATATTTTGATAATGATGATATGATTTGTTAGTTTAATAGTATGACATATATACTTGAAATGCTTTATTTTGAGAAGTATCACCAAGGGCTTCCTTGGACTACCAAATGGGTCTATGGCACAAGAAGAACACCTAGTCCTGCTTGTTCTTTATGGCTCCTCTGCAGAGTAGGAAGGAGTATCACCCTGATGCAAAGAGAGGAGAGGCTGGTACTGAAGGTACCTCTAACAGCCCAACCACATTTCACACTGAGTCTTGCTCCAGCACACCAGGTCCTACAACTGCTCTGGGAAATTCCCAGGTGTCCAGTGGAGATCCTGATAATCAAGAACTGGTGATCATCAAATATTTGTATAAACCTAAACATATTTCTAAACATATTTCCCTTTGACTACAGCAAGAACTATACAATAACCCAGTTAAAAAGTGTGTTGTTATGGTAATCGTAAGTTTACAAGGGGACAGATAAGGAGAGAGTGCTTTGGATAATAGCCAGTGTTGCAAGGGAATGAAGGCACTAGCGATGCAGAAAATGAACTGTCAGAGAGGTGAGAAGAACCTAGAATGGTAACCTGGCCTAGGAGGCAGGCATGACAAGGTTGTAGCTAGTGAATTTTAAAATTTTTGGTTGTTAAGTGATCCTGTATTGAAATATTTTCCTTTGTCATTCCTGGGCATTCTCTGATGTCTTAAGGGTGGCAGCCGTCTACATTGCAGCCCACAGACTGAACGGTTCTCAGGCTCTCTTTAATGGTTCCAGAGATTCTCAACTAAGGATCAGTGCCTCAGCTTTTGGGCAATGTCAGCAATCTCATCAAAAAGCTTAATTTCAACTGTGCTTAATGTTATCCTGTTTTTTTTTTTTTTTTTTTTTTTTTTTTTCCTGTCTCTCACTGATACGTTGAGGGCTTTATTATCAGGGCAGAGACAGGAAGGTACCAGTTAGATCTGGGCCTATCTGTTCTGAAAAATCAGTTTCATTGTAATCCTCAGACCCTTCCAGTCACTGGTTGCCTTGGTGATTGCCTTTTTGGAGACAAACTCAAGGGGCCAATCTCGGGGACCAGGACAGAAATGACACTGTTTGCTCACCCACA